GCGATTGTTTTGTTTGTTGTATGCTGTATATTTGATGCGCTTTACTTCTTATGCTGTTGAATGTTATAGTGTCGCAATTATTGTTTTTTTAATGTGTCATCATAAGAGTTATATGTAAGTTCCTTCTTCACTTCATGTTTAACTATTCCTTTGCTCTTCTTTTCTTCTTTCTCTTCGTTATGTATCTTGAAACAGTAAGATTTAGGTTTCAATGCTATAAAGTTTGTTATAATCTTGCCGTCGGCTTCATCCTTAAAGCAACCAAGTTTCTTCTTATTTGTTTTATCATAACATTTATGTTCAAGGGCATAACCGCTAAAATCCATAAGTTTTAATATCATTAAAGTCATCATATAAATCTTCGGTTTTAATATGTAATACAAAACTGTCAGTATCGGTATATAACATTCTTATATCATTTCCATATTTCGGTTTCATAATATCATAATAGAAAGAATACATATGTTTCTTGGATAAGTCTAAAATACTCATTCCTACATATATTGGTTTATTCAATTTAACTACACTTTTTGCTTTTTCAACTCCTATAAGATTTTCATTGATGATATGTCTGTATTTGAAATTAGGATTATTCACGCATTTTTGGTAGCGCTCAGGTGTGTCAACCAGTGGCCAGCTCAAAGTCAATGTGTTCTCTCACATTTTCCATCGTTTTCCATAAACCGCGTTATTCATTAACTTGTACATATCTTTCTCAAAGTCGCTTGTAGCGTTCTTTCGCTTCTCTGTGTTAAAGTCAATCCACGGTTTCAACCATTGCTTGTGTCTAAATTCTATTACTCTGTTTATTTTCTTGATTTTAAGTCCTTGTTTCAAATAGAATTTAAAAATGTCAATATGTAAAACATAATTTTGTTTATCCATAACATTTAGTATCAACTTGTTTGTTTTCTCATCTTTTGGAGCATTATTAAAATGATATGCTTTGTAGGTTTCATTCTGATAATCACTAAGCATATCTGCTGATACACTCATAATTTCTGGCGCTAATGGATAATCAGTATGTTTGTCGTGGCATTCTTTCGGATATTCTAAATCAACATCTAAAATATATCCTTTGCTACTGTAATCACTATTGTAATATTTAATGTCTTCTTCTGTAAAATTATCTTTCACAAACTTAATATTCTTATATGGTAGTTTTTTACACATCGCTAATCCATAAAGGTTATTAGCATCTAAATAACTGATGTATGATGATGGCTTTGCTTCATCATAAGCATCTCCCATATACTTATTATTAGCAGTTGCTTTTCTCATTGAAACCTGACACATACCGCCTCTTAGTCCTTGCTCTATCATTTTATAAACTTCTTCATCGTGTAGAAGTTCTAACCAAATTCCTGTCTTTAATAACATCGCGTCCCAAGCAAAGTTAGGCAATGTATAATAATGGGCTGGGTCTAACTCATAATCTGTTAGACATTGTTTTCTGAAATTTTCATATACATCGGTTAATAATAATACATCGGTTTCTAAATATAAATCGTGATATTCACCAAGGTTTTTAATGTTAAAGTGTTTCCAAATTAATTTTGCTCTTTCGTAGTCTGCGTCGCTTATATCTTCTTCACTTAATCTACTGTAAAAATGTTTCTTTTCTGGTAGTTCAGTGTCATTAAATTTATTGAAGTCATTACAATAATCATAAGGATAAACTCCCTTTTCTGTCAGTAAAAATAAATCTTTTTCGTTTTTAATGTATTTGCCTTTGAAACTGTATTTGAAATGATTTTCCCAGTCAGGTCTCAACTTATTCTCTTCATATTTTGTTAATTTAACCAGCTTTTCTAACGACGATGATAAGAAACTGAAACTGTCCTTAAATTCAAGTCTGTTCAATGAAAAGGTAATAAACTTTTCACTGTTCTGTGCTATTACTGATATTTGTTCTTTCTTTGTGTTTAACTTTTCAAGATTTGATATTATGAGATGAGCATCATAGTTCTTAAGATTATGAAAGAAACTGGTATATTATATTTTTTAAAACAATAGTCTATATTGCATTTCATATGTGCCGCTCCTCTGTATAATCCAGTAAAGTGGCAATGGTCAGCAACTTTCTTTTTCGCTTCTACTCTGTTGTCAAAAGCGCGATTACATAAGAAACACCTTTTAGCTTCTAAATATTTAATTTCATCTAAATCTGTCATATCAATATCTTTTGATTCTTTCATTTGTTCCATAACATCATCTCTAATATTGTTTAATGTTTCACAAAATTTATCAATACAATCTTCACCTCTATATAAAAATGGTTTCATTTCTCCACTATAAGCATTAACAAGGTTAAGCATATAACCGCTGGGTTTATGGTTCTGGTAGGCGCCCTTCGGTTGCCCAAGAGGCGGTGCCTCGTAAGTCCCTTTGATGCCTTCTGATGTTTCTGTTGTTAAACATTCAAAATCACCGTAAATAACAAATGGCGCTTTCAGTTTCTTAAAATGCTTTTCAAACTTCATTGATGTTCCTTCTTTTTGCATTTTTGTTTGTTGAATGTCATTTGCCATACAACCTTTTATTAAGTGAGAATTTAAAAGTTTTTCTGATTGAAAACCGTGCTGACAGTAAATACAATGAAATATCTTTGTTTTGTGATTGTTTGTTTGACTACCCATTAATCTATTATAATCTTCTATTAAACCATAATGTTCGTTGTTGTTTTGTTCAATTCGTAACAAATTAATATGACAAGATGGTCTTTCAATTTTTGTTATTCTGTCTGCTCTGATGGTTTGGTTCTCATCTTCAACATAAACATTAACTGATATAGATTTGTTGTTGATTTCTTCAAAATGGTCTATGTCATCATTGGATGCTGGAAAATTTACACCATCCCATTGAATTAGACTTTCAGTAGTTATTAATTTCTTGTAGTGTGTCATATGTTGTGGATGGTCTTTCTTGAAGACTTCATAAAATTTACATAAAACACAATATTTGAAACATAATTCATCTTCGTTTTGAATGTTGATACACGCCTTTTTCTTTGAAATCCATTCTGGTAGTTCCATATATTTACCTGCCCTGTTCGGGTTGTATTTGTCGTAGTGGATGGTGATTTTAACAATATTCTTAATCTTTAATCCTGACCTTTTCAACTGTGAGTTTTCAACTTGTAATTCAATATCTTTCGGCATATTTTCCAATGCCTTTTTCAAGTCTCCTACATTCAAAATGTTGTATCTCCTGCTCCTGATTTTGTGAATGACATCCTCTTCTTCTTCGGGGTGTTCAAAAGCAATATCAACATCAATCAGTAGCTTCATTGATTTTGCTTGTTGTAAAAACTCTGTTAGTTTCTTTTCTTGCCACAAGAGATATGTTAATCCTTTGTATCCTTGAAATGGGATGTTGGATATTGCATATGTGTTCGCATAGCCTTCAATGCCGAAAATGTGTCTGATGTTTTGGCACCTATCTTTAACCTGTATTTTTTGATTGTATTAATTCCTCTCAATGCCTTTGCTGACTTCTGTAAAAGGTGGTGTCTTTTGAACTCTTGTGTTTTTGATACTTGATTAAGTTTGTTTTGTAAAGATGTTGGGATGGGTTTTTCTTTGTTGTAATGGAATTCCTTGTTGTTTGTAACGAGTTTTTTTCAAGGTTTGTTATTCTTACCTGTTTTTAATTGACCTTCATTATTGGATATTAGATATTCAATTACTGAGCCTGTGCTGTATTCCCCTGCCATTTCTCTATACTATATAAGGTATTTTCTCTTTAAGTCCCTTTGGGGGCGGGTTGCTGGTGCGGGGTTGGTGGTTGAAACTATGAAATTCGCAATTTCGGAACCTTGAAGTACCCAATTTCGGAATTTCGGAACTGTGAAACACCCAATTTCGGAACCTTGAAACACCCAATTTCGGGATTTTGAAACTGTGAAACCCTGAATTTCAGAATGTTAAAACAATGAAAAGTAGTAATCCAAAGTGCACATTTTTTTAAAATCAAAAACTGGATTTCTGAAACACCGTATGTCAAACTCCTGAAAATGAAAAGCGTTCAGTGTATTCATATTATTATCTTATAATATGATTAAACCATTCTATCCCCCAGAAAGCCGTAAAATGGTCTGAAACCTGAACCTTGAAAATGTTAAATTGTTAGACTGTTATTAAATGAAAAAAATGTAAAACAAAAAATGTTGAGAAATGTTTTAAGGGAATTACCCTTTATAACATTAGGAATAAATGACCGAAGAAATGAAACAATGCTCTAAATGTAAAATGAATAGGACACTTGATAATTTTGAGAACGAAAATAAAAACTGTAATATTTGTTTAGAAGCAAGACGAAGATATAGACAAAAACATATTGATAAGATAAGTCAATACAATAAAGAATATTACAAAGAACATAAAACTGAATTGCTAATCAAATCAAAAGAAAAACGGGAGGAAGAATATGTAGATTGCTTTTATTGTAATGATATAGTAAAGAAATATGATGTAGGCAGACACGCTAAAACTTTAAAGCATATTTCAAATATGCAAAGAATACATCATAAACCTGACACATAATAATAAATTGTTTATTCATATTATTTAACTATAATATGGTTAAACACTTGTATCCCCCAGAAAGCCTAAAAATGGTCTGAAACCTGAACCTTGAAAATGTTAAATTGTTAGACTGTTATTAAATGAAAAAAATGTAAAAAAAAAAAAATGTTCAGAAATTTTAGAAAAAATCCCCACAATCCCCCTTGGTGTTTTGAACAAAATGGTTTGCTTGTTGAAAACTGACCCTGAACCCTGAAGCCCTGAACTGAAAATACCCTACCTCAGAGCCCCCCATTACTTAATTTTTCCCCTCCCTCCCCCCCAGCCCGCATGAAAACACAAAAAGAAACAGCCGAAAGGGCTGCGGGAATTGACCCTTGCAATGCCAAAGTAGTGCGGATGACCATCCGCACTGGGCCATGTCACTTGGGTGTTTCCTTTGGCACCACAAAACGGCCTATAAAACAAAAACATCTAGAGGTGTCTTTTGAGGCTCGGTACCCACCCATTCTGCTGACACAAGCCCATTCCCCACGAAACGATGAACCGTCCGCCTTTGGAGATCTTCAGCGAGTTCTGGCCCAGCGGGAAACCGAGCGCCACCACATCTTGGCCCATCTCCGCCACCTTGGATGACCTCGAAGTTGACAAATCGGCCCAAAGTGTCGGGCGTAATGTTGACCCGTCCCGTTCCCTCCAAAAGTGGTCTGAATCCCCACGAAAAGGGGACACCCCCCAATCAAAATCAACCAGGGGTTCTGCTTAATCCGGGGTCAACATTAAATCATAGAGAGGCCTACTGCGAAACTATTTAGCCCCCTACATTCAGTGTAGTGGGTGGCTTCCTTTTGCTTCGCCTCAAACAAAAGGGGCACTACAAGTGCCTAAATGATTAGCGTGGCTGCGGAAAATGACCTTGTCTGTAATACCAAAGTGGTGTATTCCCATCCCGACTTGATCACTTCGGGGATCCCCTTGGCCACTCACCGAAAGTGGCCCTAAAGCAATATTTTCCACAAACATGATCCAAACAGCTTACTGAGGCCAAACTCACTAGAATGGGGTCATGGGGGTATTTTAAAGCCATATTAAGTAGAGATCATAGGACAATCCACGCGTGAAATTACCTAAGCGTCACGTCAATACATGCCCCTGTCAAGAGGATGTAACAAAACGAAACAGTGTCTTCTCGGGAATGAAGCAAGTGCTGGCAATTTTTAAGCCTCCGTGTGTTAGATGTCAAAGGGCATCCCATCCCAAACAAGTGTCACTGGATAACAAGGGGAAGCTGGAACCACTGCCCCCTTCCCAACCTCTTGCGTTTGAAGCCTTGGCTCTTGATCTTGCACTCCTTCAAGCTATGCGAGCGTCCATTTCCTTTGGTCCCGATCAAGTCAAATCTGGATGTTTGGCTCAAACAACCGCTATACCCAAAGTGGCACCTTTGAATGTGGAAACACAACATAAAACCTGTGCTTTGTCCCAGCTGTTTCATTTTGAGCCATACATATATATATATATATTTCTGTACATATTATATATATATATGCATGGCATGATATTCTCGCCCAATAATATGAAGGCCATGACTTGGGAAGCGTTGCTAGCCGCAATCCTTCCGCCAGAATACCTTCCTGGCAACACCAAAATGCAACTTCCTTGGACTCCATCAGACATGGCACCAGATGGAGGTTTGGATTGCATGTGAAGTCCAAGTAGAGCTGCTCTTTTCGACTTTTTATTCACCCCCCCCCCCAGAATATCAAACGCAACATCCCGGCCACTAGCGCTGCTGGAACAAAGGCTTTGAAGGGAAAACCGTCCTGAATAAACTTTAGGATGTGCAAAAACGGTTCAGCTGACTTGGCGATGGGATGTACAAAACATGCATGGGCGATTTAGAGGACCCAACCCAAGGGCAAGTGGTCACTTTCGTTTTTTGCCCGTTGTGTGTTGTCCTTACTTTGGGTTTGATGTATCATCATCACAAAAATACAAACAAGCAAAACAGCGGCAAACAAGCGCTCTGAGGTTGAATGCTACGAAACAATTGCGACACATCGAGCAGTGGCGCTTGTCAAATGAGCGGGGTTCGTTTCGGGCGGGGCTCATTTGCTGGTTTCAGGGCAGGTCTCCAGGTTTCTCAGGTCGTTCTTTCCCGACATCCGGAGTCCAGCGACCCCTAGGTCCTCCAGATTTGAGAGGTTAGAATAAGGGTGCCCTTTTTTCTGTAGTCTATTTTAGTAGGGGAACCCTCCTAACCACAAAAGAAAGTTGGTAAAAGGGCACCTAGCTGGGGGCCCTAGAACCCCATCCCTTGCACTCCCTCAGACTAACATGGAAGCTCCCAGAATCTGGAAATGGAACCCGGTCAACCAAAGGGCTCCTGGCACCTTCCATCATGTTAGTCTGGGGGAGGGTACCGATTCCACCGGAACTGGGCTGTCCGGCAAGGCCAAGGCCTGCACGGAGATGCCGGCCTTCGCCAGGGTCTGCTTGAAGCCCTGCCGTCCGCGCACCCCGAGCGCCTTTTTCCACTGGGACGCTCGCATAGGGAAAATGCGTCATAGTTTGAAAACCGAAGAACTCCAGTTTATGAGGGAAACATGGTTCATAGGGAAAATGCATCATAGGCTAAAACCAGCGCAAAAGCCGGGGATAAACAAACGGAGCGGCTGTCCACCATGTGAAAGTCCGAATCGCCAAAAGCTCGGGTCCGGTGCGGACGTCGGTAGCATAAAGAACTCTAGTTTATGAGTGCCCCTTTCTTCAATATGTTTAGCCTGGGGAACCAGCCAAAGATCAAAGGGCCCCACAACGTCAACAGCTTATGCATTCATACAACTAGCCTTTGATTCCCAATTTTTGGCCGTCCGGCGTATTCAAAGCAATCTAGGCTCTTCTGCAAAATCGCCGCAATCTGTTGCGAGTCAAATCATGATTCAAATGTCCCCATCTTCCTCACTGAAGCCTCTGCAACATGGACCCTGAAATAAACAGGTGCAAGGGTCCCTGTTTGACGATCGTCAGTACATACAACAGCAGGTGCATACTGTTCGTATCTAAGAACAAGGTGTCTTGATATATCTGTTTCGCTGTGCTGAAACATGTCTCAGCACCTGAGAATCGACTGCCCAGGCTACCCTAACCCCTGAAGACCGAGAAACCTCAACACGGGCTAGAAAGGTGAACAAATGTCAATGAGCTCACATATTGCATGGACACACAACATTCATTTGCAAAGCCTCTATGGCAATTCCAAAACCTGAGCAAAGGAAACCAAGTACAGGACCATGATGGTGAGCTCATTTTACCACCAGGTGACCTCGCCATTAAAAATAGGCGCATCACATTCATGGCATATGGGGCGAATTCTCACGGGGCAATTGTTGGCACTTGCGTAGATGTTCATTTTCCACCAACCATTTCTGTGGGTCAAAAATAGGTACCCAAAATGGAACTCTGGTAAATGGACCCAAGGATTAAAACCTGGGGTCCCCTGGCGGTTTCATTTTGATTCATACCCATATTAACATTCATAGCCAATTTAAGTACGTGGACGGGTTTCTAGTTCTGCGTCCAGCCTTGTCATCCTTCAGAGTGAGCAGGGCCAGGTCAAACTTGGGGCCTCAAAGTTGTCAGGAGACTCAGTTCTTGTAACTGGCGCCAATGTGTTCAAGCCAACGATACAATGCTTACCAAATTAATGCACCATGTTGACTATGCCTTAGAAATGTTTCGTGACCCTATAGACGGGATCCTGCAAAGGCGATCAACCAACGATGACTCATGTGCTTCCATACTGGATTCTACATCTGAATGGGTCGGGAGATGATCTGAACTACGTACAAGATTGCCGCGGAAACTTCATGGGTGCCTAGTGTGAGTGTTCCTAATAGGGGGTCCCCCTGTTGACAGGTTTTTCCCCAAGACTCTCATTTACGTCTATTCTAAACCAATTACACTAACAGTTTGCCAGCGAAAGATGCGGTCAAAGGATCTTTCTCACCAAGCGGAAAAGCTGCAGAGTTGAAGCAGGACGGACAGGGCAAGGGCTGACCTTTCACGCCTGGGCCACCTGTTTTCAGGCACACCCATCGCTTTTTGGTTCAAACTGCTGTGCTCTGAATCCAACAGCCGACTTGCTCTGGAGGATATGTCGCTGATCACAAACCCTTACAGCCCTAGGCTGAGAAAGCGGGCAGTGGTGTTGGCTGTGCGGTTCTCTGAGCCATGGGCAGGCTGACACAATCTGCACATCCCACTTGGTCTGACCTCGGTGAATTCGAGACTCGCACCGGAGGCTGTAGGTTTCCGCCTGTCCCTTCCAAAAGAGGGCCGAACGAGCCGAACAAACTCTTCTTGAACGCGAATACCTGTCCAAAGATTGCCTGGGATGCAATATCTTTTGACCTGGCAGTCCACTAGCCTGGAACCCAACAAAGGGCCTTTAAGGAAAACCATCTTGTAGGGCCTCTCAGTCAAGTTCCATGTTCGTGGACAGGGTATTAATCGTCTGATGCAAGTTGGCAGGAACGCAAAACATCGATTTATCTGCCTTAATCTCATAACTAACCATTCTTCCCTTCGGCCATGGCAAGAGGTCCCCTTCTTCCTGGCTGATTCTCAATGACCCCCTGGGTTTTTAAAAGTGATTCTAACCACCTGGCTATCTTCAAAGGGGAACCACAAATGCTAGGTCCTCTAGTACAGAGTTTGGAATAAGGGTACCCTTTTTCTGTAGTCTGTTTTAGTAGGGGAACCCTCCCCCAAAAAAGAGCAAAAGGGCACTACTACTGGGGGACCTTGAATTATAATGTTTCAACACTGGGTGTTTAGGCCTGAATCCAACCCACCGAGTGCCATATTCCCAGACAAGCCCGGAACCTCATGGCAATTTGGGCCATGGGTTCGTTTGTCCATAGAAAAGTCATGGGTTGAAAGTTCCCCTGGCCCGCCCGGCGATGGCGCCCTCACATAGCAAGCACTCGTCTATTTCGTTTGGATCGCAATGAGTCTCAAGCCCAGGTGGTTGATTCCCGACAGTTGGAATCCCTGACGGTTCCCAGGGTTTTTCCCTTAGCACATTTCAGCCAAAAGGAAGCTCACCTAAAAGATTGCAAGTGATATTGACTAGGTCCTGCAGTAGAAGGGTTGGAATAAGGGTACCCTTTTTTCTGTCTATTTTGGTTTACAAACTCTTCCCCAAAAAAAATAATAAAAGAAGCCACTATATACTGGGGGACCTACATTTGGAGCGGTCCGCTTTTCCGTTTTCGACACATGTCCTCAAATGGTCCAGATCCTTCAAGCGAAATGTCGTGCACGTCCTAGCCGGACACCGCAGGGGTTAAATCACTTGGCCAAGTGACTGGGTGGGATCCCGAGGATTTCCGTTTTCCGATTCCTAGGGGATCCACTAGCGGCCTGGGTCTGCGGCGGATTCCAACAAGTGCATGACTTCCTTGTGGCGAGCAAGTGTCACAGGGGTCTGCCCATGATTGTTGGCTCTTTGAGCGGCGCCAGCTACAGCTGCGTGCAACGGTGTTGTTCCTTCGTCGTCGGGCTTGTCCTTGTCAGCACCCCCGTCCAGCAAGAGGCGTACAACTTCTAGATGACCACGCAAGGCGGCAGAGTGCAGGGGCGTCCATCCTTCACAGTCCGCCTTGTTGGTCTCAGCACCTGCTGCTAGCAGGTATCGCACAACGAGGGTGTGGCCATTTTCAGCGGCAATACGCAAGGGGGTCAACATGCTGATCACCTCCTCGTCTGAGTCGTCTGCTTCGGCATCGGGGTCCAGGGGCCTGTCCAGCAGCCTCGCAACCTTCCCCGTGTCGCCATCGAACGCTGCCTCCCCAAGCTCCCGACGATCAAAGTCGGAACCTGTCACATAGGGCCTAACCACAACCGACAGCTCCGCATCCATCCAACGGCTCTCTCGCATCAGCATCTGATCATCGCAGACGAGCGCCAACCTTCTGAAATTCTTCACCCCCAACCTTCTGGCCAAAAATGGCCTCAGCGCATCGATGAAGACGCCGCCCTCCGCGTGATGCTCCGCCCACAATGCAGCGAATTCATCCTCCGTCATGACCTCCTCTCCACTGACCTTCCGAACGCGGCCCATTGAGGCAAGCCCAGAGGCTCGATGCAGCGCTTCAAATCGAACTGAAAACGTCTTTGCGAGAGCTGCGTTCACTTCCAACAAGCAAATGCATGCCACATGTTTCACAAGAAATGCATCACAAGCTTGGCCCGCTGAGTTGATGCAATGGAAATTCAGGACTTGTAAGCTCTGGCGTTGACTCAATCATTCAACGGATTGGCGGCGAGCCAGGGTCGGATTCGAGCAATTTGGCGTGCAAGGTTTCAAGCAACGAATCCGAGTTCTGCCTCGTAAGTCTGTTGTCTTCTTTCATTCGCAGGTTTCAGCGATGAATGGCTGAGATGCGCTTTTTGTTGATTGCCCTGAAACCGAAAGGTTCAACCCTCTCCAAAGCGCTTCATGTTCTGAGCCTGACATGTTGGCTCAGGTGTCCTGAAAGAGGGACCCCCTCCTGGTTGGTTCCCTTTGGTTTCCCTTCTGAACCCTAAGGGGGCTCACTGCTAGTCACCTCAAAGGACACCCGAGCAGAGATTCGCCATCACAGGTCGTCGGGTCGCGTGGCTTCCAAACCAAAGCCCGGAAAGGGTCGGGCTCGAGTGATTTGAGGCCAATCTGGGGCCCAGCTTCCTGAACAGACCCATGGAGCCTTTGGGTATCTTTGTGACCCCCTGAGTTGTCAAATCTTGTGCACCCCAATCCAGCAACGTCAAAAAAGCTCGGCTCTGCAAGCGACTCATGAAAACAAACTGGCCCAAGCGGGTTCGGGAAGCCACCACAAGAACCAGATGCAAGCGGAATTTTATGCAGCCTACGGCTTCAATGATAAAGCTTGCAACACAGCAGGAAACCAACTGCAGAAACAATGTGCGAATATTGGGAAATTCCCCACACACACACACACACTCGCTCCCATCTCACAGGGCAACCATCTTTTCGCCAAGGGAGAAACAGTGTCAAATTTGGGCCAATGGGTGGGAGCGCTCAACAATAGATGTTCAAGACCCCTCCGCGACTCATGTCGGCCTCTATAACAGCCACCCAAAACGGTCAAATTGTGACACAGCGGAGTTTGCTCGGGGGTTGTGTCATAACTTGTCTGTGGGAGCGCCCGCGGAAGAACCTTTCTGAGGGTCTGGCTGTGCAGAAGCAACTGAACTTGAACCCGCAGGGCATCATTGATGACCTCACAAGTGCTTGGCCGAGGCAGGGCCTTCTCGAAACCAGTTGCACATCCCAAACTCGTGCCCTGTGCACGTAGCAAATCTGGGGGGCAAAGCACATGTATCATGTCATATGTCATAGCTGTGTGTACATGGAAATGTGCATGCTAGGGATGAGCTCTCACGTGTTCTTTACCGGGTGTCGGGTCTTAACCCAGATTGCGGGTGTATATAGCAAACTCTTAGGCTTGCCCAGTTGAGCCCTCGGTTGGCTGTTGACTGTTGTTACCCTGAATTTGTGTCTATCTTTGTGAAGTCGCTGATGTGGCTAGGAACTTAGCTTTCTTGTGAACTGCAGCTACCTTCATAGATCAATAGCGACAAGTCGGGCCAAAATTTGAAGCTCAGCTCCTTGCCTGGCCCTTTCAATGCGAGACCAGTCCAAGAACAGTTTTTAAAAGGACAACACATGGGTCAGAAGTTGCCTTCCTGGGAGTGTTGCATCCAGTGTCTATGACCCTAACTGTAGTAGCGCACCCAAATTTCAGAGCAACAACGTCATTGTTTTAGGGCTCAATCATTGACTTCTTGAGCCTTGAAGATCCCTTCGATGTTGCCCTGTTGGCTCTAAACGTTCTCAAATTCGCAGCGTTTTGTCTTAGAGCAGCTGTGCGGCTGAAACGGATTCTATGGCGTATTTGTCTGCCTTTGTGCCATACGTTGGCTGTTTGGCCGGACCAACTGCGCTCTTACTTGCCCAACTCGGCGGTGGGAGGTTGTTAGTTGAGCACCCGCAGCCCATTGAACTGAGCACAACAGGATACAGGCGGCAGAGCCTATTCGAAGCATCACAGTACAAGCACTCCATCACAGTACAAGCACTCGAATAAATCTTAACGGATTTATGAGCGTAACACATTGTCTGTAGTGTAATGATGCTATCTGTTGCATCTATATTAAGCACTGCCTCCCGGCAAACTGATGTAATCATGCAAGCCTGAAGCTCACAATCTCCCCTCGATGAGAGATGAGATTTGACTATCCCAAACAAGAGCTACCTTTTAGTTGAAATGATTGATGTATCACACAAATTTCCCCAAGAGGTACGAGTACTGCAGCATGGCTGTTGGTCATTGCACCGATTGCACACGAAAGATTGATGCGCCTTACAAGCATTCTGGCCCCTGCTCGGTGGCCAATGGTTTTCCACATCCACTTGCCCTATCAACCTTGACTCGGACATAGACGCAACACCACACTCCTATGGCCATTTGCCCAGCAAGATAGCTTTTCTAGCTGCCAAATGACGACACACACACACACACAACACAAATGCGCATTGGCTCCGAATCGCCTCTTGGCCTTCTTGAAATGGTGAATGCACGACAAGGGCAACGGGTTTCTGACCACTGCTGGCTGGTAGTCGTCCGTAAATCTGAAGCAAGCATTGGATGCTTTACATCCTAAGACAAAGGACGCCTGAAACGTGGCGATTCTGCGAATTTTCCTTTCATCGCAATCCCTAAACTTTGGGATTCGCTGGAGCTCACTGCGACAATCCCTTGCTTTGTCTCTCATCGCTTTGGCAGGCCGCATGCTGGTTGGTGGCGATGAGAATGTAGGGCTCAGTCTTCACCTCGCATGGGCACAACACCACAAGAATGAATGGTAATGTTAACCCCGGATTAAGCAGAACCCCTGGTTGATTTTGTTTGGGGGGGGTGTCCCCTTTTAGTGGGGATTCAGACCACTTTTGGAGGGAACACCCCCCAATAATGGGATGGGTATCCTGGGTCAACATTACCTTGGGTCTGCCTTTCTTGGGCTCCTTTTCAGGCCAGCCGTAAATCGGCACCGCTCACAAAGGTCTGGGGCCCCGTGGTCAAGTTTGCTCAGCATCACTTGGGCTGCAACAAACGAAATAACTTGAATACGCTTACTACTAAAGTTCCCCTGATCTTGGAATGAACTATTGCTGCGGCAAATACGCAACCGAAGCCAGATTAGCCTGAAGAGCCCAATGTGAAAGAGTTAAGTTGATTGGTGATGTGTCGATCGGAGAAACAATTAGGATTAATAATTAGTATTAGGAATTGAAGCCAAAAGGGCCCCCTGGCTTGGGCTGCTTTCGGGAGACTGACCTTTTGCCCGACTCAAAGCAGAGGGCTCGCCAGGTCTAGACTCTAGATTCCCACTTTGAGGGAGGCACATATTATGTTCAACCACTTGTTGTTGGGGGGGGGGGTGAAGGATGCAAATCGCAACTCCCTTGCGCCATGCTTACGATTTCATCAATTTGAGGATGGCTGGTTCCCCGTAAAACCAGAAGCCACCACACAAGTGCTCTCTTTCAGGAAGAACCGCTTAAAAACAAGAAGGCATAAGGTTGAAGATCCAACCAGCAAGGTGCTGTCTCAAAACAACGGAATCTCAAACACAAACCGAACCTCATATTTACCAAAGCACCCTTGCTGGTCTGTCAGAAATGCACAGTTGCCCAACGAGGTTTTCCCGCCGAGAACAACCTCAAAGACCAAGGAAAGCTTTCCAAACAACTGACCCAGAAATCGTTGCTCAACAGAATATCAAAACATTTCTTACCTAGCCCAGAAAATTAAGGGCTGGAGGTCCAACCGCGGTGCAACCCAGCCCCGCCAAAATGGTTGACCTTGAGACAAATTCTGGATTGATTGTCCTTTAACGCAAGCGATCAGAATTAGATCCTGCTTAAGAGGTCCAAGGAGATTGGATAAAAGCTGCGGGAACTGCTTGACACAGGGGTGGTAGCCTTGTTGGGGATTAAAGGACCAAAATGCAGACGGCATTATTGGAGGTCTGAAACACAAACCCCACACAGATGTGGGGTAAATGGGCCAAAATTGTTATCCCTGAAAAACAGCAGAAAAAGGAGCAGACATCTCCGTAATTATTTTCCTCCAGAAACAAACAAAAGGAAGCAGACATGTCCCAAAACCATTCCCTTGTGTTGCTGTTGACCCCCCTGCAAATCCAGCAACCTTTTTGGGGGTTTAGTCGAAAACCCAACTTGATTTCGCCCAAAAAGTGAAAGTCGAAAGATCCGTTCCCCAGCAGTCAAGTCCCCCCCCAAAAAAAAAACAAGCCAAGGGAAGGGTGGAGGCCCTGCCCCGCGCCCTTCGCGGATCCCGCGGATCGCGATCTCCGGGCGTCCCCGACGATGAAGCCGCTGCCGAGGCTCACCTGGCCATCCCGCGCCGCGAAGGGCCGGAACCTCGTCCGATCCGACGGTCCGACGGCCTTAGCTCTGGTAGCCATGTTGCCCTGCCTAAAAAAACAACGCCTCTCTCAGTTCAGTGACCCTGGGAAAAAAGAGATTCCCCTTTTTGGGGCTTGGACCATTTTTGGGGCAGCCACTGGAAAAAAAGGGAAACAGGGTGCCACTGAACAACTGAGTTAGCTTAAACAAAGGAAACCACGAGGAACCTATGACCCTGTTTTTCCGCTTTTGGGGTCCCCCTACTTTGAGATATCGTTCTTAGGTGGGAAACAGGGATCCTTACATTATACACCTGAACATTGCCTTGTAAATGCTGGCTTCCAACTTTATGTTGGTTTGGCTTGGAGGTTCCGGGGCATTTTTCCCAGTTGGCCATGGGTTAAAATGCCAAATCGTACCTCCAGTGAACATCCGATTCAATCCCCAATAAGAATAGACTAACATGAGGGTACCATTGGTTTTGACCCACAGCCAGGTTAGAAAAATAAACCAAGACGAATATGACCTTTCTTGGGGGCCCCCTATTTTTATGTTGCCTTTATGGGTGGCTTTAAGAGTGGCCTGTGACCTTTTGGTGGCGTTGCGCATCAACTTTCAGGATGTAAATATCACGCTTTTGTGGGCCGTGGTGGGCCCTCTTTGCCTGATTTTGACATCAACCTGTGGGCCCGCCTTAACTTACCCCTTAAAACTCCAAGCCCTGGGGAAGTTCATCTTTTACAGACATATAGCCCATGTTACACAAAAAGTTGAAAAGTTGTGTTTCTAAGAGGTAAGTTAAATATCGCTCGTGTTGAAATGAGTTTCCTTGCATGTCAAAGGGGGCCAACAAAAATGCCATAGACAGGAGGGCGTAAAACATTCGAGCACGGGTTTGTCAAGTTGGGGGTGGGGGGGGGGGCACTGGGAGAACCCTTAAAGACAGCCCAGAAAGGGCACCATGTCCACATGTAACAATTGCTGGTTCACCTTCCACCAACTAACATAGAAGTGGGAGGGTAACCTCTCTTTCACAGAAGCCGATCCGTCGGCTTCAAAAAACTCGCTCCGTGGGCATCTCTTCCAAACCGCAAACCGAGAGGCCAATCGAAGCTGGCACCCACGGTCTCAATCCTCACAATGCCTCAGGAGCACGATGAAACAGAAAAAAAAAGGGGAAAAGGGGTGCCACTGAACAAAACACATCCCGTTGAAGAAAAATGATTGGCAATGCCTCATTCTGGAAAACCTGTTTTCACCACCTATCCTGGTCCTGAAAACCAGGGGCCGATCGGTGGCCAAACTTTGTTGTTCTCCGCCAGGTGTCTGACACTGCGGCTTGACAATGAACCCGAAAGACAAGACGCTGCAACCTTCACTCACACTGAAGGATAGGCTCATTCCTGCAAAGCCACAAACAGCTGCTCTTTCGTGAGTCCCCAGCGCGTTTCAGGGCAAGGGTCTTTGTGAGTCCACATTTGTTTGCCATGCAACATCCAGGTTCAACTATGCATCATGATCACGTTCATTCACGCTTCAACAAAATGATAGATCCCCCAGGTGAATGGTTAAAGAAGAAAGCGCCAGAAAACTCACGATCTGAAGACCACCCGATGAGGAAACGCCCAAGCAACCGTGCCAGGTCCCTATTTTGACACAACAGTTTGTCAATCGCCCCAGTGGGATGCTCACCACATGTTGCTGGATACCACTCTGCTGTGGGTCCGGCAGCAAGAGTGCCCTTATCATTAAAAAAAAAAAAACATCCCGGCACCGCAGGATCTGTCGTCCTTGCAGCCAGGGTGCTCTTTTGCAAATGATCGTAATCAATCTCCTGCCGCTCATGCCCAGGCATTGGGACAGCGACGCACATAAACAAGAACACACAAACACCTGCGCTCACAATGACACCTACACGCACATGCAAACCTATTGGCACAGGCAGCGCACGCAGAGACGCAGAGACGCAAAGACACGGGATAGAGACAGACCGACAAACAGACAGACAGCACACAAAAACACAAAAACAGACACACACACACACAGACACACAGACACAGACACAAACACAGACACAGACACAGAAACACACACACACACAAGCAAACCAGCAAACCAACAAACAAACAAACAAACAAACAAACAAACGAACAAACAAACAAACAAACAAGCAAACAAACAAGCAAACAAGCAATCAAGCAAGCAAACAAACATGCATACACACGCAAAACAAAAGCAAAACAAACAACACATCATTGTCAGGAGCATAATGTTTGCAACGGTCTGTTGACATACACAAACACGCAAGCACACACACACACACAATCCCACAACTGCATGCACCCGCACCGCATGCACATGGACATCAGCAATTCTCAATCATTTCTAAATCCAAAGCAAGAGATGCTCCACATTTATCCATCATTGATTGGGGCCACGGATAAGGGCTGGCTGGCGATCATGTCCATGACGAGCGTCCCGAACTTGCTTTAACCCAGTTGGCTCGGTGCTTGTCAAACATCAGGCAACTCGATCTCCGGGTGACAACGTCTACGAGTGGCCCATTTGGTTTGCTTCGGGTCCCGTGATTCGTTGTGGCTCTGCGCGAGTTCCTGGGCATCTATCGCACAAGGATTCGAAAAAAAGCAATCGTGAACACCAAGCGGAACTGACCACAGGAAGGGTTCGCAGGTTCTTAATTGCGGATCTCATTGCCCGCCTATGCGCTTACAGTACTTCTCCCCGCGCCTGCTTGTCATCTGTGAACTTTCGGCCAAGGGCCGGTAGGATGAAAAGCAGGAACCCGACCTGGTCTGGCGATGCTCCGCATGAACGCAACAGCGTGTGATTATTTTATGATGCAGTCAAGGGAAATCCAAAGCAAAAAGAGAATATGTTGCTCCAGATTGGTGGTGCCCCAAATATGATGGCTTCTGTTCTAGACACCCCCGAGGTCACTGGGAGTTGCCCAAATTCAGGGACACTACCAAACGATCCCAACCGACATACCCAACAGGTGTGGATGGCGATGTCTTCTTGCACTGAATTTCTAGTGGTAACGGCCAAACCTCTAGGTTCGATTCCCCATTCTTGTCAACCAAAAAAACGCCTGTTTCCCCTGAGTTTTTGATGGTTTCTGAATGGGGAAGGTACCCCTAGAAAACCCTCTTCGAACTGCAGGCACTCAAGTGTGAATTTATCGCTTGGGAATGGCGGCGCTCCCATTCCAGGGACCTGAAGACTGACATATTTTTCCAGGTTCAGCCAATAACCAACTCTGGACACAAGTCTAAATCCTCAAAAGGCGTAATATGTGTCCATCTGCAGCAGGGGAAGTGGTCATGTGTCCGAAATTGCACCCTCCGACTGCAAACAGCCAGGTGGATTTGACTTGAGGAATGACTGGCCCTTGCCACATCTAAATGCTGGTGCTTGCGTATCACAGTGGCCAAACATCTTGGTTGCCGGCAAGACACCCCTGCAAACAGTTTTTAACTGTTTAGGGGGCTTAGCGGAAAACCCAACTTGATTTCCCACCCAATAAGTCTATATAAACGTCTAAAGATCCGATACCCCATAGTCAAGCGGAAGGGGCATGCCTTCGGTTTCCCTTGGGTTTCCTTTCAGTTTCCCTGTGTCCCCTTGATTTCCCGTTGGTTGAACAGGGATCCTTACATTATACACCTGAACATTGCCTTGTAAATGGTGGTTTCCAACTTTATTTTGGTGGAAAAAGCCACATGTTTCAAATGGTGGCAAAATGGAGATCTTTTAAGGAGCCCTGTTTGACCCAGTCAAGACCTCTGGGCTCTGTCTCGACGGCCCCTGGCCAATCACTGACTCGCGACTCGCGACTCGGCCGCCAAAAAGGCCGCGGTCTGTATACCGCGGGTTCGGTTGCATGGGTCTGTCAAATGACCTGATAGACTGGGCTGTTCAAAATGGAGGCTCGGCCAAATCCATAATCCCAGGAAAGCCACTACAAAGGGGACCCCTTGCGTAACCCCAGGCAAGGATTCAGGATTGCAATTGAACAGCCCAGATTGAAGAGTTCACTGCCACCTCGCAGAAAACATGTATCGCACATCCACAAAGCGCACTCAGATGTGCCAACGAGTAGACGTTTACACCGCTAAGATGCAGTGACCAGACAGCATTGGATGATTCTCGAACTTTCGCAAGCCCGATTGCCGTGGGCAAAGAAAGAATGCTTGGGGTAAAGGCTGCTATGAGGCTTTGCCTTTTTAGATCCTAGTTCCAGCAGCCTGACTCTGGGAGTTCCTATCTGCGGAGCCTGGATTTTCTTCCGACGCTGATCAACCACGAGCTGTTGCTTCCTTGTCCCACGCATTTGTACCACGCTGGTGGAATTTCTTGTCTGGTGCCCAATGTCGCAAAAATCGGCGCGGCCGTGAGGATTCTGCTGGCAAAGCTTTGCAAAGTCCTACGGCAAAAGAAGAAGCGGAATTGGCGGGGTTTCTCTGGAGATGTCAGGATGTCCCTATTTGCACAAGCCCAATGCAGTCAGGGTTGCAAAAGAAGGCTTAGGGCGGAAACTTAAGCCCAAGCGCCCAGGTGACACAAAGTTCCTTTCTCAAGCGGGTCCACAACCCTGAAAGGTTGCACATGTTTCAGCATGCTCATTTCACTCCCAGTGGCTTCTCGGGGCGCCAGGAACAAGCACCATTTGTCTTTTGACAGGATGGAAGTAGATGGCACAACTTGTTCTACGGTAATTCAGGAGATGATGAAACCCAGGTCCTCCAGAGAGGATAGAATAAGGATACCAACTTTTTCTGTAGTCCACTTTAGTAGGGGAACCCTCCCAAGCAAAACAGGGTAAAAGGGCACCACTGGCGGACTTAGAAACAATCGGTGGAATTGTTCCCAACAGCTTTCAAGACCAAGAACTTGGGCCACTCTCGGTTGATTCGCTTGAGTCCTGAGGCCCGTGCAAGCCGCATCGCGGGGATTCCTACGGCCGAAAAAAACTTGCCCCCCAGTGCTTCCAGCCAATTTAGTACTTGGAACCCAATGAATAAACTAGTAGATTGAGGGGTGTCCCATGTACGGAATCCTGCGCTTTTGGGGAAGCACCAATTTCACCTTTCATCCTGGGCCGACGTTCGAACGGGAAACCATTTAGAAACCCCGGCAAATATCAGGTTTGTCATTTTGAGGGACCCACTGGGTAATTATGTTCCCTTAAGTTCCAGTTGAAAACTACCTCAAAAGGGTACCCTGAAAAATAGGCCCACAGAGCATACTGGAAACTAGATTCCCCAGGATTCATGATCCTTCCTGGCACCTTGATCCAAACTTGGAGATGCAAGCGATTGGCTAGGAAGCTAACTGGCTGGTGGAACCAGGTGAACAGGTTCCAGACATGCAGGGAGCTGCGTATGCCGGAATTCGGCATCAGCCAAATCGTGATGTGGATGCCCTTTCTTTAAGAAACCCACTAAAGGTCTGTGAGTGTGAAACTTGCTATCATGCACGAAGCGAGTTCCTCGCATCATGTTTTGGCCGGCGCGGCCTTCCCCAGTGTGGGGGAACATCAAACAAGGATATAATATGTATGGGATCACTTTGTTTGGTATATTTTCTCGTGTCAAGTGTTTTGTTTGTTTTAACCAAACCAAGTATCTATGAACATCGACTCTTACAGCGAACTGCCCACGGTGGGGAGGGGGGGACAACAAAAAAAGAATAGTGATTGCCGCTGGACAACTGGTGCGTTGACCGGAACGTTTGCTTAAACACCTGATAGAACCCAGTTTGCTTAAATAGTTGGTAACCCTTCGCCATGTTCCTCTTAGGTTTCATTCGTTGCCCACACAACTGGAGCCACGGGGAAGGATTCAACCGTGACCCAAAGCCGTGCGGGTGTAGGTGACTGGGCTGAAGCTGTGGGATGGCATATGATTAACTCGCAGCATTCAATCACCGTGGATTCTGAGGGG